ACAGTTTTGAAGCTGGTTTTCTTTTTCAGGGATGAACATTGATCAACCTTTCTTGAGTTAAGTATTGGACAAAAAGGGTGTGTAAGGGGAAAAATCCCTAAGCATGCAACCCTATAGGACTGCTCAGAAGACTTCATTCAATAGGACTTTGAGTTATTGTAAAGCTGCAGACTAAAGGGATTATGGATGCAAATATCATGGATTGCATAGCTATGAGGAATGGAAACACTTGACTTCAACTATCCAACAGAGGAGAACTAGAAAACTGAGGAGAAATTCTATTTTTTAATGAGTTTTCTGCACCTCTAAAATGTGAAATCCTAGACTGAAACCAACAGAGACTAAAAAAGAAGACTGCAATGACGTGTGGAGTTTTTCACATCCTTTCCTCTCAGAAACTAATAAAAGGCTCAAAACATGGCTGTCATACACTTACAGATCCCAAGCAGCAAATGCATCCCCAAATCCTCCTTTTCTTTAAAATAAAAACAAAAACACTCCATAAAAATATGTCCTTTGGCATTTCAAACAAGAATGTGAAAGTCTACTATAACTGCAACAGGAGTGTGTTTTCTAGTGATGGGGCCATAAGACAAATGGATCACATACTCACTGCTTGAGAGCTTCCACCTTCCCAAATGTTCCAGTAGATCAGGAAACCTCCCTTGCTCATTTCTTCATAAAACTCATTATAAAGCAGAGTCTAAGGTGCGACTGTCACATAATGGTATTTGAGCCACTAAATATAAAGGACTGTAAACTTGAGATTTCTGACAAAGGAATCTCACCATGGTGCACAATAACAAGGAGAATTCAGGAACATGAAGATACATCACACTTCACAACTGCCTCCTGAAGACAGATGGAGAGAATCATCAGTGCACAATTGAAATGGACAAAGCACTGATGAACCCCTAGCAGGTAACAATTCTGTATTGTCAAGTGGCAAAAAGCTGGCCCAGGAGGTCTTTAGCATCTCCAGCTTCTACACAGTAATATTGATTATGTTACATAATTTATGGCACATTTAAAACCTCAATTGAGATTTCAAGGTAGTTAAAGTATATGGGAGAAGAGTTGGAAAGGGAAGACTCATCCACAGTCTGAGGCTTGAGTTTGTTTACAATGACTTAAACCTCAAATGAACCCTTGCATTCTCAATCAAACTATGCCTCTTCTTCAGAAGCAATGTAACTGTATGATAGTCACTCTAGGTGTCATTTCAGGACATAAGTAATTTTTCTTGGCTCAGTTTAGTTATGTCAAAACAATTAAAGTTTCCCATACAAAGCATCAAGGTATCTAGACAGCTGAACAAAATATAAGGCTGTGATTTCACCTGTTCCTAAAATCTAAAGATACTATGGCTATTAATAAGATTCTTAAATTGAAATTCTTTATCCAAATCAAAAGATTTGATTAGGATCAATTACACAAACAATGTATACTAGGGTCCTGTAGTCAAACTCTCTTTTTCCATAATTTCATCTACTGTGTATCTGCTATAAATTATGGGACATCACTAAATGGCTCAAGATATACCAATAGTATGGTCACAGTGTTAGCAAGCACAGCCTCAAATTCTGATTAGACCAAGGGTAGACAACTTGTGGCCCTCCAATGTTTTGGCCTACAACTCCCATCAGCCTTAGCCAGCATAGCCAACGATAAGGGATAACAGGACAAAACATTTATTTCAAAAAACCCTTGAAATGAATATATCTAGAGAATAAGGAAAGAGTGGGTGGAAGGGAGGATAATCAACCATCCCATGATTGCATTGAAACTCAGGACAATTTTAATACAGAGGCAACTGGAATTGCAGTTAGATGACCCAACAAACCACAAACTATTTTACCAGACCAAAGGCTCTGATCAATTATTTCTTCAAGTTCAGTTTCGAAATTGCAATATAGAAATAATCAAACACCAGACAAAACTGGGAGACGTCAAACTATTTAGGCCAATCTCAGATGGAGTCCCCCTCTGGATTCAGAAAGATGTTTCAGCGATGCCTGGTAGCTACAAGCCACAAAATGAACTGTAACCATCTCAGACTGATCTCTGTTGGTCAAAATGGCAGGCTGGGAACCATCAAGATCAGTACAGGTGGCAAAAGGCTAAAATAACGTGGTTCATGAGCATCTTGTCCATACTCAGTTGATCTTTCCAACAGACATTCCTCCATTTTAGTATTATATTGCTAAATCAGCTGTCAAGAAAGGTAACATCTAGCTAAACTAGGCAATGTATGAACATAGGAAGAACTGAACTGGATAAGACCAAGGGTCAATCTAGTCCAGTGTTCTGTTTACAGTGGCCAACCAGGTGTCCACAGGATCCCACAACCAAGGAATGAGTGCAGTAGCACCCTCCTGCCCAAGTTCCACAGAAACTGGTGTACACAAGCATTCTGCCTCTGCTACTGGAGATAGAAGATAGCCATTCATGGCCTCCTCCATTAATTTGTCCAGTTCCCTTGTAGACATCTCAATTGGTGGCCATCACTACGTCTCATGGAAGTTAATTCCATAGTTTAACTATGGGCTGTGGAAAGAAGTACTTCCTTTTTTCTGGTGTGACTCTCTTGCCAGTCAAGTTTCATGGGATGACCCCAAGATTTAGTATTATGGGAGGGCCATAAAGATCCATTGTCAACTGGCCTAGTTCACACCCAACAGATTTATACTATGGACTGGGACATGTAGACAGTTCAAATGTGACACTGTACACAAGCATGAACCAGTGACGAGAGATGGTTAGGGTACCAGACTAGAACAGGAAGACTCAGATTCAAGTCTACCTTTGGCCTAGCAAACCCAACAAGGGTGACCGTGGGCCAGTGACAGCCTAACCTCCCTCACAGTGTTGTTGTGCTGATAGGACAGGGGTCAGAGAAAACCCATGTATACTTGAGCTCTTTGGCAGAAAAGTGTAATAAACACGTGTATTCCATAAAGTTGGAAGTAGCCTCATATTCTCTGTGACATATAGCTAATTCCAATGTGAGTGTGCATAATTTAGGAATGAGCCTTAATTTGTTAGTGTTAGCACAGAGAGCAAATCCACTGTAGATTACCTGCTTAAAAATAGCTGAAATTAATAATTAGTTCTAACCAGCTGCTACAAAATTACACACACAAATGTATGAGTTAATATAGTTTGACTGTGAGAGACTGTTCCCTAAGGAAAATGCAGATGATCTATTCAATCAGGTCTTCAGATATACTAGCATCTCTCTTAACAGTATTTCTATATTATACATTTGGATGCCTTAAAAAAATCTTAATCTTCTCACCTCAAAATCAAATTTCTAATTTCACTGATGCAAATTAAAGATCCTAACCACCTCAAATTCTCAAATCCTCAAGGTTTAAGGGGAGTGGGTGCTTTAGTAAGCTATCACCTAGGAGATCATCTGCTGCTTGCTCTCTTAAAATATTTTCCAATTTCCTATCACAATTCTTATTACTCAGTATTATCCTATCACATCAGGCTGCATCCTCACAGCTGTGCAAATTAGACCCTCTCAGATTATTACAGTTTGCAGAGATTTCACTGTAGAATTGAATGTAGTCAATGTTAGCTATATGAAACATTTACAGTTGCTGAAAGCATACTGTCTGGAGGATTAAAACTGATATGATGTTAGTTTTGGATTAGGCCTTGGGTATTATTTTGCAATGTGCCATTATTTCTGAAAATTCTCAGCAAGAAATTAAAGAGGCCAACAAAAGGTATACATATTAGCATATAAGATCATTTATTGCAGCAAAGAACTAGCCACATTTTGACACCTTTTCAGCACAAATCCTGCATCAGTTTTACCCTTCTGTAGCACTGCAATTCTTCACAGCATGCATTTCCTCACATTTTTAGCATGTACATGAACTTGATAGGTTGTGTGCTTCAGATTATGTCTTGTGTGATCTTTTGGAGAATGCTAAGAACACACACAGGCATAAAACAAAAGTAGCTGCCTGTTATGCAGAATAGGAAATGGCTCCTGCAATTATGATTCACACTGCAGAGCAAAACATGCTAAGATATAATAGAGAGAAGAAAGGCTGACACATTTCAAAGCCTATGCTGAGCATAAAAACCCAAGGAATCTCCACAGAATCTCCATGAAGCAACTGCGGCCACATAGGGCCAAAGCGATTGTTGTTGCTGTTTTTGCAAAGAACATGGGGGTGCATGGAAGATGCTGCACACATACTAAGATCACATGTAAAAGAGAAGATGTTAACAGCATGATAGGACTACTAGGAAACAAGCACCATCCAGAAGATACCACTGCAAGCTTTAGAGGCTGAAGAGCCAAGAAGAGTGTGGGCAGTGCTTTCTTGAAAATTCAAAGGAGCAAGAACCATCACAGCTACACAGAACATACCGGTTTTATCATGAAACAACCATTCTAGAGACACCGTGCAGCCTCTCCCCGGAAGCCTGTAGTTCCCCTTGGCTATTGATCATATTAGCATTTGAACAAAACAGATAGATGCAAGTGACTGCAACCCCTCTCGCATTCAGGAGTAATGTGGGCTCGGCGGGGCATGCACTGCAATCTGTGTGAGGAGGCGACTAGGAACCGCAAAGGTCCCAAGACCGTCAGGCTCCGGATTCCTCGCAGGATAGCAGAGATGCCCCAACCTTAAGCACCACACATCTCCGCCGAACGAGCACCGCGGCTTGTGTGGCGTCCCTTTCCAAAACGCCAAGCAGCAGATCAGCCTCGGTAACCGCCAAAGGAGCAATGGCACCGCTGCCCGTTAGCAGCACCGCGCACGGACTTGGCTACCGCCGGGGCGAGGAGAGCGGAGCAAAGGCGATCCGCGGCGAGGGAGAGCCAGCATCGGAGCGGGATGGGCAGCCGCGCCTGATCCAGGCTCAGCCGGGCGGGCCGCTCGCTCGTGGCTGCGGAACGGGCAAGGCGGGCTGCTTAGGAGGGGCAGGCGCGGGCGACGCGACGGCGGCCCTGGCGGGCTCCGGCGCCCTACCGTGGATGCCGGTCTGGTGAGTCATGGCTGCGGATCCGGACCGCTTCGACGGATTGCACCCGAGCTAGCCGCTGTCTCCCGGGCAGGAAACGGCTCCGAGCCCCGCACCGCCCGCTTCCGGGTTCCTGCCGACCGTCGCAGGAGGGGCTTGCGCTGGGTCCGCCCGTGGGGAGGGCCGATCGCGACGTGGTGGGCGGCTGGCGCGGGGAGATGGGCTGCTTCGCCGGGCGGAGGGAGGCGCGGAGGGAGGGAGCGAGCGAGGCAGCGCCCGCCAGCTCCGGGCTTGGCGGGCTCGGGGGAAGGTGGAGCCACGCCCGCCTCGCTTCCGAGCTCACGATCACCCGCCAGCGGCGCTGGCGGCACCATTAAGTGGGGCGGAGGAAAGACGCGGTTAGGATGAATAAGTGTAATAAGAATGAATGGTGCTGAGCGATCGGGTGAAAAAACTGTCTCTTTCTCAGGATGATCATTCATTCCCCGGGCAAAGTCTTGCATCCAAGAAACGCTGCCGTTGCACAAAAAAAGGAGTCACTGCAATCAGCGGAGCTACTCAAGTCAACAGAAATGTGGCAGGGGCATTGCCCGACATTGGAGAAACCGTCTCTTGAAGCCTTTACTGCTTAAATTTCCTGGCGCAAGCCGTGTCTGCTCACAAACCTTCCTCAATCTGATGCTTCCAGATTATGTCGGCTGCAAACTCCCATAACCCTTTGCCAGCTGGGCAGGGTATTGCTAGGCTGAGTCCACGGGGGCCTGTGTCACTCGAGCTATCCATCGTGGCCCCACATCTGTTGTCCGGTGCTCTAAATGTTTGTTGGTGCCAAGTGAAGGGTTTTTTTCCCCTCAGCTTAATCTCCCTGTGGGGCGATTTTCCAAAGGAGATTTCAACTCTCCCCTACATGAAATGCCCCCGAATAGCAATTAAGCTTAGAGAAGATTATTTCCACTGGCGCCAATGGGAGGGTTTTCCTAAGTTTAACTGCCGTGTGTGTTGTCCCCGGAGATCACAGCTGAAAAGGGAATGAAAGGCTATCCTGTGCATTTTGCTCCCTCCTCCCCACATGGTAATTAAGCTTGGGGGGAAAACCTTTCATTGATGACAAGGGAAAGACTGGATCTAGAAAAGATTCTAGGATCTAGAATCTTTTAAGCATCTAGCAAAGATCCTGGGAATGCTGGGAGTTGTAATGTAATATATCTGGAGAGTACCACACTGAGGAAATCTGCCCTACCTCACAAAAATAAAGAAAAAGAAAGCTGTTACATTGCTATGATGTAAGAAGGCATTCGGTTATTCCTACCATTGCTGTATGTGGAGGAGGAGAGACATCTTGAAAAGCTCAGGGAGTGGCATTTTGGCCTTGAGCAGTATGCAGTGGTTTTCCTACTGGAACTCTTGAGTGAAAAGGTTAATAACTGGGGCTTTCTGGAAGACAGTTACGTATCTGCACTGTGCATACTGGTCTAGCCCTGCAATGCATAGTCATAGAAGAGTGCATGACACACCTGCAGACTCACTGGGACCTGGCCCTCGCCTCAGGCAGAATGGAGGAGCCTCAGGCAGTGGGAGGTGGTAGAAGCAGCAACTGCCTCCCTTCCTACTCCTCTTGAGCTTCCCTCATTCCCCCTGAGCTGCCCCCCCCCCCGATTCTTCCTACCCTCCTGAGGGCCATTATATCTCTGGTCCTCAAAGTACTCATTTTAAGAGTGTGTGTATATAATAATCAGAATTTCTGAATTATACTCTTAACATATGTCAGAATCCCAGAATCTCAATTTGAGAAGAGGGAATAAAACTCGGGTTCGTGGGAAAGATCAAGCGTCCAGACCATCTGAGGCTTTATTGTTTTACCCCAAAGTTCCTGTGGTATTCACGATAATGCATTACTGAGCAGGCAGAGGTGAACTCTGCTGCAAAGCTTCAATACCATTGCAGGGCATTTATAGGTACACAGGTACAGGGCAACTGATGACAGAATGCAGAGATTAAGATTCTGAGGTCATCACATACAGAACAGATAAAGGAATGTCAGTCAATCATACAGTAACAATGAGATTGCAACATTTCTAATTGCCTGTATTGACACTTTAGTTCAGTAGCTTTAGTCTCCAGGTCTGCTTAGACACGTAAATTCAAGCTACTGAAACTATGCATGAACTCAAGACTCTTATCTACTCTAGACATTCTGAATTGGCCAGGGCACATGGAGCCTCTGGGCTATCAAAAGATACTTCCTTGTAAACTGAATTCCAGCAATGACTATTTAATCATTGTGAAGGTATGCAATGTAAATTCGGACTAAATGACCTGTGTACTGTAGCTTACAGCTAAAGGTGAGAGAAAGGAGTGGGGGATGAAGGCCATTTGAAACAGTGACTTAGCTTGGTTTGAGAAGTACAGGATTTGATCCCACAATGCAAAAAGCACACAGAAGTAATGTTTTTCAGACAGGATTTATCCAAATTTTCCCAACACATACAAGTAGAGTTAAGGGGGATACCCTTTCAAACAGCATGTCCCAAGAGGACACATTGAAGGATGGAGGAGGGGCACACCTGTTAGTGGACCACATCCTTAGCCTTCATGCACTAGAAACAGCATGCACAGGGCTCTCTCCTTGCAACTGTAAACCTGGCCATACCAGAGTTCCTGGTTATGAGACAGAGATAGCCTTACATGTGTTCAGTTGTATATATGTAGGCTTTTATGTGGATGTTCAGCAGAATCCAGATACGCTTGGGACAGGGTCTACTGTCGTAATTTTTATCCCATACACAAACACACGCTGATTAACCCAGGAAATGTATGACCCTGGGACTTCTCTTTCAATAGAACAGACTAGGAAATTAAACACATATAGCATCTTATTCTTACAGATTCAGCAGTTCTGTAACAGAGCAGACAGAAGCTCATAGATTAGAGACAGAGGTGGCTGTTCTACCTGCTGCACAATTCAAAGGGGAAAGGTACAAAATTCACATCGAGATAAAAATAGAAACACTGTAGAATTTGCGGGAGAGTTAAATGCTTTTTTCACTGCTGAGAGAATGAAGAAAATAATTGCCTTTGAGGCAGAAAACTGTCACCTTGGGAGCTGGGGAGAAAAAGGCAGCTTTTGTGGACAGTCCCTCTGAACTGTTTCTAAACAACAGGGGAGCACTTCTGTTTGTTTAATATACTTTTAAGTTGCCCAGTAATAACCCAAGTTCTTTCAGAGTACAATACATTAAAAACAAACCAGGAGAATAAAGGAGTGAATAAAAACTAGACTGCACTGGCTCCCTTGAGAATGGATGGAGGAGGGGAGCAGTGAGAGGAAAGAGAAAGATGGGTAACTTTTCCCTGAAAGATGAGTGGTGGTGCCACGTGAAAAGGTACCTTTTGAATTGAGCTGAAGAGTTGTTGTCCCACATAGGACCTGTATTGTGGGCCCATTTTCCTAGCTCTTCATCCAAATTAGCATCAATAGCACCTAGAAAATTATTGCAGGAGAAATATGTGCTTATATTGGATCAACAGTAATACCATGACGTGAGCCCTAGAAGAAAAAAGGCTCATTTCCTCATGGACTTGTGTAGGGAGCCCAGAGAATCAAATCATTTGTCTTCCATACCTTGATTCTGGGGGATTAGGGGCTTCCTATGCATGGTGGAAGAAAAGCAAAGGCAAAGGCTGCCGCCCCAAGGTTGCTTATGCAGCTTTGCAGCTGCAGCCAGCATGGTTCTTTTCACACTGGCTATGAGGAAGAAGAGGAGCAGAACTCCTGGCTATGAGGTTGGAGGAAGTTTCTGACTTCATAACTGGGAATCCAAGCAATTATACATTCTGCCTAGTAGTCATGGGACTGCTCCATTAGTTATCTCTTTCTGTACTTTCCCTAACTCTGAAATATTCTTTTTAAGATGTGTGACCACAACTATAGACTGTTTTCTAAGTGCGGTTGAACCATAGATTTATATAAGGGGAGTGTGATTTTGTCCATTTCAATATCAATTCCTTTCTTAATTATGCCCAACATGGAATTTGACATATTGATCCCTTGTTCTCCCAGTACAGATCCTTGTGTGACCTCACTGTTCCCTTCCACTGGGAAAATCAACCTTTTATTCCTACTCTCTGTTTTTTATTCTTTAGTTACTGATCCAAAAGAGAACGCCCTCCCCTCTAATTCCATGACTGCTAAGTTTGCTCAGGAGTCTTTGGCAATGGACTTTTAGTGGTCAAAAGCCTTTTGGAAATCCAAGCCAAGAATGTCTACCAAATGACCCCTGTCTGCTTGTTTATTGAGACTCTCAAAGAATTCTAAAAGGTGAGACAAGGTCTTTTTCAGCAGGGCTTCTCCTTCTATGTGCTTACTATTTTAGCTTTAAGAAAGTTTTCATCCAGAATAGGGAGTAAGATTACTAGCCTTCAACTTCCCAGATGCTCTGTGGATCCCTTTTTTTTAAAAAAAACTGACATAGAGGGTGATGTTTTAGGGCCATGTTACATGTTTCCTTAGGTCAGCAATTTCATATTTGAGGTCTTTAAACTCTGGGTTGGATACCATATGGGCCTGGTGATTTATTAACTTTAATTAATAAGGTTGAGAACTTCATTTTTTGGCTCCGCTATTTGCCTCAAATCTTCAAACTCCCTTCCTGAAAAGATCAGTTCAGGCACAAGTGTATGTCCTGTATCTTTTTGCAGTGAAGGCAACTGAGAATAATTCTTTCAGCTTCTCTGAAATCTCACCCTTCTTTGGTACTTCTCTAAACCTGCTTTTGTCCAATTGCTTCCCTAACTCCCTGGTTTCCTACTTCTGACATGTTTTTTTTTAAATAAATTTTATTAAAATTTTAAAACTAACACTAAAAACATCAATCATCAAATACATCAGATGTACTGGGTTAGCCCCCTACTCATTTTTTTAAACATTCCATAGTCATATTCAAATCTACGCAAAGTCCCGTTTCTCTAGCCAATAATAAGTTTGGTAGAAATATGTATCTTCTTTCTCCTTCAGAGATAGTCAATCTGTCCATTTCTGTGCAGTCCAAAATCTTTTTTAAGATCAATTCATCCGTAGGTGGCTCTTCACTCCTCGTGTTGAGTAAATACAATCCTTGCTGCAGTAATTACATGTA